CGCGCGCTCAGTAGACGGTAGGTGACTGCGTACAGCAAGGCGGGCAGCAGCATCGCGCGTGAGCCACTGCGAGCGAACGGTACTGTCAGCATCAGCAGCAGGGGCAGTAGAGGCGCCCAACGTAAGGTCAAACAGGGAGAGGCCATCCTTGCTATCGCACTGAAGGAAAAGATGCAGATCATCTAGCCAGACATCAAAGGCAACCGCTCGACCCTCAGCATCAAAGGTGAGAAGACTAGGACTAGCCATGATAGGAGCAGCAGCAGACTAGCAGCGGCAGCAGTGCAACTGAGCTAGGCTGGACAGGGCGACTCGGCAGCGCAGTGGGGCTCGGCCGCGCGGCTCGTCCCGGCTAGGCTCTTACCAGGGGCGGAGCCGACAGGTTCGGGACTGGGTCGGGGCCGGAACAGGGCCGGGACAGGGTCGGGGCCGAGCAGAGTCCGGGACGGGGCAGCAACGGGGCCGAGACAGGGTCGGGGCCGGGGCAGGTCCGGGACAGGGTCGGGGCCGAGCAGGGTCCGGGACGGAGCAGCAACGGGGCCGGGACAGGGTCGGGGCCGGGGCAGGTCCGGGACGGGGTCGGGGCCGGGGCAGGTCCGGGACAGAGTCGAGGCCGAGGCCTTTTAGGGGCGGCGGAGGGGCCACGTAGGGGCCGCGTCAGGGACAGGGCCGGGCCGGGCCGTTTTAGGGGCGGCGTAGGGGCCGCGTCAGGGGCGGCGTAGGGGCCGCGTCAGGGGCGGCTTAGGGGCCGCGTCAGGGGCGGCGTAGGGGCCGCGTCAGGGGCGGTGTAGGGGCCGCGTCAGGGGCGGCGTAGGGGCGGCGGCAGGGGCGGCGTAGGGGCCGCGTCAGGGGCGGCGTAGGGGCAACGTAGGGGCGGCGTAGGGGCCGCGTCAGGGGCGGCGCAGGGGCCGCGTCAGGGGCGGCTTAGGGGCCGCGTTAGGGGCGGCGTAGGGGCCGCGTCAGGGGCGGCGTAGGGGCCGCGTAGGGGCGGCGTAGGGGCCGCGTCAGGGGCGGCGTAGGGGCCGCGTCAGGGGCGGCTTAGGGGCCGCGTCAGGGGAGGATTAGGGGCCGCGCAGGGGGCCACGTAGGGGCCGGGTAGGGGCCGCGTAGGGGCCGCGTAGGAATCGCGTAGGGGCAGCTAGGGGGCCGCGAAAAAATTTAGGGCAGGGCGCGACGCGCTTCGGGCAGCTAAAAAAAAATGTTACTTATGGTGGGCCCTTAGGAAGGAACGGTCCCATGTGGGAACCCGCTCTATACCATGTGAATAATGAAACAGGAATGAATGAACTAGGAAAGTGTGAGATACAAATATGAAAGCTGTACCCCTTAGTGTCTACCCCACTACAGCCTACATAGGCTAAGGCATATATATCTGACAAAGCGGCCGCCGGGTTCTCCGCCTGCCTTCAAGGCGCGTTACGTTGCACGTGGCTTCAGTCAGCGACAGGGAGTTGACTTCTTTCAGACCTTCTCCCCTACCCCGAAGATGACCACTCTTCGGGTACTGCTGCACGTTGCTGCTCAGCGTGACTACGAGCTCCACTCGCTTGACTTCAGCACAGCCTTCCTACAGGGCAGCCTGCACGAGGAGATCTGGCTGCGCCGCCCACCTGGCTTCACTGGGTCGTTTCCTACTGGTACTCAGTGGAGCCTCCGGCGGCCAGTCTACGGTCTCCGCCAGGCGCCCCGTGAGTGGCACGACACGCTCAGGACGACTCTTGCTGCTCTTGGTTTTGCTCCTTCCACTGCTGACCCTTCTCTGTTTCTACGCACTGACGCTACTCTGCCGCCGTTCTACGTTCTTGTGTACGTAGACGACCTTGTCTTTGCTACTGCTGACACGGAGGCACTCGCCCACGTGAAGTCCGAGCTGCAGAAGAGACACACGTGCACAGACCTGGGTGAGCTCACAAGCTATCTTGGCTTGCGGATCACCCGGGACAGAGCACAGCGCACCATTACCTTGACTCAGTCACACATGGTGCAGCAGGTCCTTCAGCGCTTCGGCTTCACGTACTCCTCGCCACAGTCCACTCCTCTGCCTACCGGTCACTCGCTCTCAGCTCCACCTTCGGACGAGTCCGTAGAGCCGAGTGGCCCGTATCCAGAGCTTGTGGGCTGCCTCATGTACCTGATGACTTGCACACGACCTGACCTTGCATACCCTCTCAGCCTTCTGGCTCGCTACGTGGCTCCCGGCAGGCACCGAAAGGTGCACTGGGATGCTGCGAAGAGGGTGTTGCGATACTTGTGCAGTACATCGGGCATGGGGCTCGTGCTTGGAGGACGGGCTCGAGTTGTCCTCGCTGGTCACGCTGACGCCTCCTAGGTTGACGACTTGACTACGCAGCGGTCGTCACAGGGTTACACCTTCAGCCTTGGCTCCGGTTCTGTCTCCTGGCGGTCTACCCGCTCTTCTTCTGTTCTCAGCTCCAGTTGCGAGGCTGAGATCTACGCTGGGGCCATGGCTGCACAGGAGCTTCGCTGGCTCACCTACCTGCTGACCGACTTGGGAGAGGCGCCTCGTTCTCCTCCAGTTCTGTACGTCGACAACAAGGCCATGCTGGCCTTGTGTCAGGAGCACAGACTGGAGCACAGAACGAAGCACATTGCTCTGCGCTACTTCCTTGCTCGAGAGCTGCAGCAGCGTGGCCAGCTTCGTCTTGCTTACGTGGCCTCTCAGGCCAACACTGCTGATGTTTTCACCAAGGCACTTCAGCCTTGTGATCATCAGCGTTTCTGTACTGTGTTAGGCCTTGTCCCTACTGTGCCTCACTTGTTGACTTCTTGACTCTGCTTGTACTGTACTCTATATACTTATACCTGCATGCTTACACTTGCTAGGTTGTGTTCACTGTACTGTTTGCTTTCCTTTATATAACTCTGCATGTGAACTGGCCTTATGGCCCTTTGCTTGTGCTCAGACTGTGTGGTGACTTTGTGATCCACCCTGAGCTTGCTTTGCTTTTCTTGACTGGTCTTGTGACCTCTTGTTCTCCCCCACTTTGCCTATGGGGGTGTGTCAAACTTATATCTGCTATGGTCTATTTAGGCTGTAGTGGGGTAGCTCTTAGAGGGTACAACACTTATGTGTTTTCTATTTGTACCCATCTCATTCCTAGTTCATTCATTCTTTCTTCTATCATTCTCACAAATTCCACGTGCCGACGGGATTCGCGGGGCTCCCGTGGGCTTGGTGCGGTCCTGTTTCTCTCCATGCCAGGCATTGAGTGAGCGGCGCCCTCACTGGCTGCGCCTGAGCGCTGTCCCACGCTGTCGTTCTGTGTCGGTGTGCCGGAGGAGATGACAATCGGCTCCTCCGAATGTGCAGGTGCATGTGTTGGTGCTGGTGTGTTCACTGTCGATTGTTGGCGAGCGGAGTCGCGTTCCGCCGTGAGTGTGGCGATTTCAAGCGCCGATTCTTCGAGTCGGCGCATGAGCCGGTCGAGTTGCTCCTGTATCAATGTCGCGACATTAAGTTCTGCCATGGCGGGGGTGTCGGGCAAGCTCAGCGAGAGCCTCTGTCGTGGCCGTGCGTGCTTACGAGAGAGCACTACAAGCGGCGGTGCTTGATCGCTGAGAGACGTATACCCCCCCCCAAAAAAAAAAATGATAGTGGGGAAGCGAAGGTGTGGGTGCGGTCCGAGAGAAGATCGTAGGCTCTGATAACCAAGTGTTACGAGTGCAATTGAGTGAGCGAGCGAGGATTGCACTATCGAGACAAGAATACAATGAGCGAAGGAATGAGCGAAGAATATATAGCGAAACTACGGTGGTAACGGTAACGTGGGAAAATGGGGTGCGCGACGGGCCTGGTGCCGAGGTTGGGGAACTGTCGAGGCGGGGTTCCGGAGTGCGGGTTACCAACCGAACCGTGAGGTTGGGTCGCATCGTGAACAGTGGCGGGAATGGTGTCGAGGCGAATGTCGCGAGTGGTAACGGAATAATGTGGGGTGCTGTCAGTGGTGTACGCGCTGAGCAGGGACGCGAAGTAAGGAAAAGGAATTTTCCTTACACTACTACCGGTACTGATTCGACCTGCAAATGCTTTTGGGGAACTATGCTACAAGAGAGAACGGTTACAAAAAAAAAATACATTTTGTTTGACAAGAATGAACAAATAAATAAATTAAGAAATAATTTCCTTTAGGTGTCAGTCAGCCTGGCATTCAACGCGCACCAACCCCAGCAACGCATTCACAGGCCACAATCAATGCATCCTAGACAATATCTGCTGGGAGGTTTTTTCCATCAAAGGACGAATACACACAGTCAGTCTTCATCACCTCAGAAGTCTCATAGTCCTCAGTGCGCCCATCCAAAAATCCTCGCCCCTCCTCGCCTTCAGCAGCAATAGGGTGACCCAATAAAACTGCAAGGGCTGAAAAGTCCATAGCCCTTCTTTCTCTTCCGCTCCTATACGTCTGCCCGAGTACTCCGTGCATTCTTGGTGACGGCTTGATGTGCGAGAAATGGAGGTTGATATGGGCTTGCGCATCTGTGGTCGTCTGAAGCAAGGGATGTGCGACGCGCAGCTTTATCTGGACATCGAGAAGCGAGTCTACAGTGAGTCGGTACGAATCGACCTGGAAAAAGCCTTCACCAACTGATTCCTCGGCCTCAAAGGAGAAGGAGAAGCCAGGGAAGGAGTGTCGCTGGCCAGGCTGTAGTGAGAGGAAAGAACGAGATTCCAAGGCGAGGGGAAGGGAGGGTGGAGCAGAGAAACGGAACAGCACAGAGCAGTGGGTGAGTGCAAAGAAGCAAATTCAGAAGCAGCAAAGGGGAAATTGAAGAACCGAGAAAGCGAGAACGGACAATGACAGCCAGAGTGCATTTCCAGTGACGTGCATTCACATGCTTCCCATCCTCCCATCCCCATCCGCAACTTCATACACCCACCCGTGCATCACCTCACCCGTTCCCCCTTTGCTCGTGCATACAACCATCTGTCCATGCACCATATCCCTTGACCAATCCCATACCCTGCGCACTTTTCGCTTCTACCGCCCACAACAGTCGAATTCTTCTAACGCTTTACCACTCCTCCCCAAGCATCCCATTCCCACACCCCCCTTTCCCCTTCTTCTCGCCCCCCTATCCCCGGCCACTTGCACACTGCCCCCTCGACTTACTTCTAATTCCGGCATCGCCTTTCCATCTAGCTCCACGAGTCGTAAGAGTCGCCCGCCCTCCGTCCGCCCCTGCCCCTTCCCGTCCCTCGCCACCAGCCGCAGCGTGTGCTTCCGCCGTAGACCTCCCACAGGCAACTCCGCTACCCCGTTTCCGCCTTCCCGTTCCCCTTCCGCCTCTTCTTTCGCTTCGTCTTCTCCTTCCGCCGCCTCCGCCCCCCCTGCGGCTTCCGCCATCCGCGCGCCCTCCGCGAAAGGCTCCCGCCAGACGACCCCCAGCTCGCGGATCCACGTGCGCACGGCCAGCCCGTTGCGCAGCAGAGACGCGCCGATGGTGCGCGTGTCGTAGTACCCCCGCATCTTCATGTTCACGTGCAGGCTCGAGTCCGTCAGCAGGCAGTACGACTTCTCCGGCGCGCCGTTGAACTCGAACCGCGTGCCGTGCGCGCCGCGGAAGTGCGGGTCGTTTTTGGTGCTGCCGCAGGGGGTGCCGACACTGCCAGTGGCGGAGAAGGAAGAGGAGAGGAGAGGAAAGGACATGACAGAAGTAGGAAAAGGAACGGAGGGAGCGAGCGGAGTGGGGAAAGAAGGGAGAGCAAGAGTCGGATGATTGAACGAAGGTTGGGAAGAAGAGAGGGGGAGGGCAGTGATGCGGTAACAGGATAGGGTGACAATGGTGAGACAACGCAGCTGATTTGAAACGCGGCACGCGCTGCGAAATAAATGAAGATTGATGGATGGCTCGACGTAGGCACGTGGGCGCGTTCCGCCAAGCATGAGGCATGTAGGCGCGGAGGCATGAGGGTATGGGGGCATGGAGGTCGTGCATCACGACGGGTGCACGTGGGCGCATCCGCTTACGTGGAGACATTGGCGTTCAAGCGAACGACTTTCTTGACCGTGATGTTGGCCGTGGCGCACGCGGGCGCAGCCGCCGCCGCGGGGTAGATGACGCACATGCCGCAGCCTGCGCACACCGGGCTGGGTCTGCGCGGGCGAGAGCGGGCGGGTGGGGGAGGATGCGGGGAAAACGGGGAAGGAACGGGAGGCGAAAGTTAGGGGACGCCAGGGAGAAAGAAGTGTTTGCGGGGGGGAGGATGTGGGGAAGGGGGGGTGTAGGGGGTGAAAGAGGGGTGCGGGGGAGGGGAAGAAATGTTTCAAATTTGACGCAGAACTCCCTCCCCCACACACAGATCCCCACCCTCCCTCCTTCCACCCTCCCACCCACCCCACCTCCCTCCTCCCGCTTCCGCTTCCCGTTTCCCTTGCCCCTCCCCTTTCCCTCCCCGCCCCCCCCCCCCCCCCCCCACCCCACCGTTCCCCCCTTCCACCTTCCCCTTCTCTCTCTTCCCCACTTACGGAATGATATGCTGCCAGTAGGCGCATGACCCCGCATTCACGCATTTGAGGCAGCACTGCACCCGCGTGATCGCATTGCTCGCACAGTACGGCGTCGTCACGCGTCGCACGCTCGTCTGCGTCGTGCACCGGATGGGCACCAGATACCGGCCGTCCGTCCCCGCCGTCGAGTTGCACGGCCGGTTGCAGCGAACTCTCGCGGAAGGTACGCATGTCTGTAACCCCACGCCCTTGTAACGAATGTCGTTGAATGTCTGCCCGCGAGTAGCGGGGGGCGGCTGCAGTGTAAGGAGTATTAGGAGGAGGACTAAAGCGGTCGGTATGTGTCTTGTCGCGCCCATGCGGAATGGGATCCAGCGTTGCTAGTGGAGGAGGGCCCGCACAACGCACCGAGTTTCGCGGCAAGGTGATTGAGAAGGCTAGCCGGCTGGGTAGGAATGCGAGTGGCAGATGTGTATACACGGTGGCATTTCAAGTATTTACAGCAAATTTAGGATACAATCTGTTGAGGTACACAGTAGCGGGAAACAAGTACAGGTACAGCTACAGTGTCTGTCGCTCGATGACGCTAGGAAACACAGGCTCGCCAGAAAGAATAGGAGGCGCACAGACTTCGCATCGACTATCGAGACGGGATGTAAGACTCGAGTCGCGGTTTCTAGAGCAGCACGCTTTGCAAGGGTGACAGACGAAGGAACAGTTAGGGAAACGGTTTGGTTTTGCCGAAGGAGAACACACCGAGGACATAGAAGGGTACCTCGTAACCTCGCCTCACCGACCAGGGTAGGAAACGATTGTAGAGGCGTTCAGTGCGGTGAAAGTGGGTGTGTGAACAATGTGGGGGATCTCCATCATTCCTGTGCTTGTTTTGCTGGGGAGGCACCTAAGATGAGATGTTTTGTGGATGCATGTTGCAGCAAATGTCTTCGGCGTTTTGCATCCAGTGGTTCGAGTGAGTGAGAGTTGGAGCTCCAACTTCTGGGACCGCAGATCGTCGTGAACAAATGTGGTGGAGCACTACGCTAGGCCGCAGCTGTACAGTACCCTCCCAGTACGAAATGGTGGGTGTTCAACAGACGGAACAGAATGGAGAGGTGGTGGAAGAGGGATGTGAACTGTTCACTGTGTGTGTGTGCAGTGCTACCGTAAGCAGAACATGCGACTCGGCGCTCGATCACCTGATGCATTTGCCACTTTTGTCATCTTCCTCACCAACCACACATGCGAGGCTTCACGAAACGACTTTCAGCACTCAGAGAAATCGCTAATCTCGTCAAGGTTCCAGAACCTAGATAGGACTCACCGATCTAATCTCGTGTAAAGGGAGGCTACACTAACATTCTTCAAATATATCCAATGCTACGTATGGTTAAGAGCATAATTGAGTGAGAGGACGAGGATTGCACTATCGGGGCGATTGGACAGCTTGAGCAAAGGCGTGAGTGAATGATTCATAGATTTTTTTTTGGTAATAGTAGCGAGAAAAAAGTGGGGTGCCCTTGCGGACCCAGTGCCGCGGTTTGAATTTGCCAGAGGCGTAGGACCGAACCGCTTGTTACTAGCCGGAGCATGTGGTTCGGGCGCGATGGCGCGAACATTGGTCAAGGTGAATGCCGCGAGATGGTAACGGGATATAAAAATATATCGGGCAAAGTACAACGTTCTATGCGGTATGCGGGATGTCGCGATGCGAGGGAAAGTTGCTACATTCCACTACCCCCTTCCTCAAGTCGGCTCCCCGTACGGAAGTGTATTGAATTCCTGATTATTTATGCTGTGGAGGTAGGTGAGGACAGAGTGATTCCCAATGTTATCCACGGGCACCAGCTGATTTCTGTTGATATCATGTATTTCCATGGGGTGAAGAAATCGATGCGACGAGCTCAAAGTGGATCACGAAATCGGTGACTAAGGATTTTCACGAGCTCGACTGGTCTGTCAGAATCCCAGCCACTAGACCATTAGGATAAAGGGGCTTGATCTAGATGCGGGTCAGTGCGCCCAAACCCCCCCAGACTAACATGTATGTAACCCCCGTAGGATCAATCGGGGATCTCATAGTGCAACTCTACTGACACCCCCTTACACTGGGAGGCCCATGACTCAGCACAGCGGCAACGGCCTGTATGTGTATACACCGGGATTCGAACATGAACCCGCTATGATACCATGTCAGAATCCCAGCCACTAGACCACTGGGATAAAATGGCATGTTCCAGATGCAGGTCAGTGCACCCAAACCCCTCCGGGCTAACATGCCTGTTGTTAGAATTTGAAGTAATTGAATAGGATCGTACTACTTAGGATGGTAGCTTCCTGTCGTAGCGGAAGTCTTATATGAGTTAAAGCTAGTTATGAAGGCTTTGTCTGGACTTAATGAAAGCCCATGTAGTGATATGTTTCAGGATCAATGTCTCTGAAATCAGATATATTATAAATCAACAAACATACAAAATATATAGCTAGAGTAAAGTACATGTTCGCCTATTGTACTGTGCTATTCTTGTTCTGAAACGATACGTATCTTTTCGCGAAGTCTATAGCTACGTGCTGACGTCATCCTATGGCGCGTAGCGCTTTGCTGACGTCAGCCTATCGGTACTTTACTGTACTACACGAATATCCTTGAAGTGCTTAAGTCTCGATATTATCTCAACACTCCCCTTCACTTCTAGGAGTTCGGTGTAGTTACCCGGTTGTCTCAGAAATTCCGCTGAGCTGGTTGCAGTGGTGAAATATCTGTCGTGTCAGATTCTTGGTAAGTGAGTCAGCTGCCATGTCACCAGTGGGACAGTAGACAAGGCGCATTCTCCCTTTGTCGATCGCATCTTTGACGAAGAAGTAACGTAGTGAAATATGTTTCGTGCGATTGACGAAGTCGGGTTTGTTGGCGATGGTAATCGCACTCTGGTTGTCGCACTGCAACGTAAACTGATTTGGCGTGACGAACTTCGCTTCGTCGAGCAGTTCCTGTAAATATAGTCCTTCTCGAGTTGCAGCACACGCGGTAATGAATTCTGCTTCAGCCGAGGAAAGTGACATGAGTTCCTGTTTTGATGAGTTCCATGAGATTGGACCAATGGGCTCGAGACGGAAAATGTAGCCTGTTCGTGACCGGCGATCTGACGTGTCACCAGCGTGGTCTGCGTCGACATATCCGCTGAGATACATTTTGTCGGTCGGTTTTCCTGTGTTGCGACAAAGTAGTGTAGAGCGCGCTGAAGATCGAGGTGATGTTCTTCTTTTGGGCAGCGTAAAAATTGTGCGAGATAGCTTGCGACGTAAGCAAGGTCGGGACGGCACGTGACTGCTGCGAAGAGAAGACATCCGAGTTGCTGCTGGTACAGTTGTAGACCAGCTGCCGAAAGTTTGGTGTTGTTTAGGATGTACCCGGTGGGTGTAGACCGAAACGGTGTAGCGACGTAATTTGTAGAAATCTTGAAACGCTTAGCGAGTGACTCAGCATACTTCGATGCTGTGAGGTGGATGGCGGAGGAAGTTCACGAAATGTTTAACCCAAGAAATTGGGTTACTTCGGTGGAGACAGTTAAGTCGAGGGACTTCTTCAGATCTGCTTCAATGCGATCACCCAAGGAAGTCGAAGAACTTACGTAGAGAATATCATCTTCGTAAGCCACAAGTAGCGCGTAGCTCCCCTTGTCGTCTAGTCGATACATTCCGGGGTCATGCGGCAGTTGTCGGAATCCAACCTCTGTAAGTTTCTTGTTCAAATGCTGCTGCCACAGTCGCGGAGCTTGTTTGATGCCGTACAGTGACTTCTTGAGTTTGTAGACACTTGGCGGATTTGTCGGATAGGTATGTGGATATTCGACGTAGATTTCAGCATCGACGTCAGCGTATAGAAAAGCGTTGGAGACGTCAATTTGTCGAAGCGGAAAATTCTTCGCAGCTGCTTCGCAGATGACGAGACGAACACTTGTGTGTCGGCTGACTGGGGCGAAGGTTAGCGTGTAGTCTACCCCGTGAGTTTGGTCAAAACCACGAACAACCCACCTTGCCTTATGTTTTTCATAAGAGCCGTCAGCTTTCGTCTTCACCCCGAAAACCCATTTTCCGGTAAGAATATTTTTATTTGTAGCTTTTTCGATGGGTATGAGATCCCAAGTCTCCCGTTTTTCCAGGGCAGCCAGTTCACGATCCATGGCTTCACGCCATTTTTCGCGATGTGGTCCTGAAAGGGCCTGTCGGGCGGTTTTCGGTTCTGCGACTTCTGAAGAATTATGCTGTACTGCTGCTGCGAGTCCCAATATCTGAAGCCCAGTTTGATAATTAAGACTGTCGTCGGTCCGTCCTGCGAATTTGAGAGATTCACACTGTTCACCATTTGCCCCCCCAATTTCGTCAGGATCGACGCGGATGCTGCTATCAGTTACAACTGGCATGGGACGTCGTTGATCGTCCACCAGGTAAGTATGATGAACTTCACGAACATCGTCGGGATGAGCGTCGACGAGAGGAATCAATTCCGGAAATCCGGAAGACGTGGTTGGAATAGGTGGATCAAGAGCAGCTTTACGTGCACCGTCAATGTAGGGTTCTTCGATGGCAGCGAGTTCGGTGTCAGCACTGGCAAATGATCGAACACCGTGGAAAAGTGTAGCAGGGTCACGCTGCGTGGCGAGGTACTGTTCGAAGACAGGAAGGGTCAGATTTTCGTAGAAAATACAGTCGCGGGCAGGAATTAAAAGTCGACTGCGATAATCCAGAATACGCCAGGCAGAAAACTGCTTCTCAAGACCGAGATGAAGACCCCACTTAGCACGTTGATCGAACTTTCCGAGCGGAGCGGTGGGAGGACGATATTGCACAACACACCCAAAAACTCGAAGAAGTTTCGTAGTGCCCAATTTTCCTGTCTACAACAAGTGAGGTGATGCGTTGTTTGGTAAAGCCGATGAAGACAGGAGGTTGTGCAACAGCGTTGCGTGGTCCATTGCGAAGGGCCAGTAGAGGGGGCCGAGTTGGGACTGTGCGAGTAGTGCTCGCATCTTTTCTTGCAAAGTACGATTGAGGCGTTCAGCTACACCGCTCTGCTGGTGAGCGTGAGGAAGTGAGAACAGGCGCCGTATGCCTCGTTCTTGCAGGTACGCTGTAAACTCGAGGCTGCGATATTTCCCAGCTCCGTCACACTGGAAGGTTTTGAGTTTTGTGTCGGACTCACGTTCTGCGAGAGGTAGCCATGTCTGAAACGCTGTGAAAGCAAGAAAACGGTTAGTCATGGTACCAGTCCAGACGTATCGAGTAGAAGCTTCAGTGAACGTGATAACGTATTTCTCGCCGTTGAAACCCTCCGCAGGTAAGTTTAAAATATCGCTGTAAA